AAATCTTGCTTTTTTATTAGTTTTTGTGTTATTGTATTTTAAAAAGTGTCCACAATATTCTGGGAGGCCTCTGTATATCAATACGTATGCGAAAAAAAGAGAAGACATTGCTTTTCAATAATTCGACGTCTATCGTGTCCGCATGTGCCTTTTATATTTATCTATATGCCTTTCACGATTTGGCTGCATAAGATATTGCTGAATTATTTGTTTCGTAATTTGCATAAGTCCGAAAAATATATATTTTCAAATAAACTAAAAAAAGCCCGTTTTTTATTCTGATTTTTATATTACGTGTGCAGAGTAATCCATCCATTGCAGATTTTAACACGTATAATTAACAAAAAAATAAGTGACTGTTCGCTTAGTTTAGCGTTGCGCCAATAGTAGCAACAAATTCTGTGTGTATTTGTGTGCTGGCTGGTAATAATAATTATTCAAAAAGAAAAGAATTTCCACAACAGCAACATTTATTCTATGATTTTCTATCGTCCGCATAAGCCAGAAACTGCTATCACATATATATCATTACTTCTGTAACGCGCCAAAAGTAACTTTCACGGTGTGATAAAGTACAATTTAACGAATCCAAACAACCAACAATAACAGAAACTAATCCACAACACGAGGGTACCGGTTCTAGACCACCCCCATAAAGTATGTTTATCAACACTGGCTGGTTGTAATGTTTCAATATTAATTAAACTTGATTGTCAAATATAATGTTTCTAAATATAAATGCTTGAATTTCTTTCACTATCAAATTGATCGTCTTGCATAGACATTCACGTGTTTTAGATTTTGAAAAGCGCGTTTGTATGCCAAATCTTTATTATTTACCACAAACTACTATAGCGATTAACAAATAGCTAGTCGTCATCGACCATTTTTCTTATTATTCGTTGTTAATATTGATAGTTTAGTAATTTAATTTATAAAGTACCTGAGAATCAAATTCGTTTTTATTTTCTTCCCATTCAAATACCTCGGGGCTTGAAACTTTTGATGGATGAATTTTTTCCTAGTTCCATTAAATATGCAGTGCGCATGTTATATCATAATCAAAGGAGTTTTTGAATATTTTTTGTTCAAAAATAAAATAAAATTCGGTCAAGTGGGCAAACGCAAAATATCGTTTCTTATATTGACCACTGTATTTTTTTTTCCTCAAATTTTATCGCATTTTGTCACGAGTCAATCGGGCCTTTTTTAGAAGATCCAATAGAGAAAGTTGATTTACTATGACCTCCTCTTTGATTTTTAGTTTCGTGCACGCAGCATCACTTGTATTCTTTTTGATTCTGAAAGGAAATGACATTTGTATCCAATATAGAAATAGTATTTCTTGACACAACGTGAAATACCAATACTTTATTTGCTCAGAAACTATCAGATTCAATAGGAAGATTTTTTTCAACATTTATTCAAGGAGGAAAGAACACACACAGTGAATTAATGGTCTTTTCTATTGCTGTGTTGCTCACGGAAAATGTTTACAATAACAATATACTATACTATACTATAAGATAATTATTCATAAATGTTTTCAGATTCTCTAGTAGTCCCGTCAAATGGCAAAATTCCTCCATTACCAACAATTCCTCCATTACCAACAATTCCAATAGCCCACAAAGCTCCTCTCCCCAACCGAAACACTCCATACGCACCCGCCAAAAACAAAAACGTCACAAATGCCGAAAACAGAGCAAACACAATAATCGGCAACATAACTCCACTACCCAACAAGAAAAAGAATCCTTCCACGAAAAAGATGAATCCACCGGCAACCGCGAAACAGACAAGTGTCGTAATTCCAAGCCAGCCGAGCATTAAAGCGACGGGAACAGCATTTAATGCCGCGGCACCAATTAGAAACCAAGCAAGCGGAGGAAAGTAGTGCGCGATTGAATCGTAAACGCTGTAGAAAGGATTCTTTAAATAGTTGATTGCCCCGAGTATGCCATTGCTTTCTTCGGGTGAGTCACCTATATCGGTGAATTTTGCGAACCAAGGTTTGTGTTTCTGTGCGATTTGGGCAAGTTTCTCGCTGCCGTTAGACATTTTTTTATAAAAAACCTATGTATAAATTAAGGTGAAAATGGTGTTTATTTTGGGTTTCGACAATTCGGGCCATTGACTACTTTTATATTTGACTTTGTTCCCACATATCATCGATTTGGCATTAAATCATTGCATCAAACACTATTGATTGTTTCTAATCTTTTTTCCCACGCATTCTATCTACACATCTGAGAAAATTTCTATTTATACTACCGCTACATACGTACATGTTTCATATTCCCATTATTTGCACTTAAAATATATTTGCACACTTGCCGTTAACGAATTTCCAAGTTCGTAGAGCTTTCGAGTCGACACAGTATTGTATTTCAACGCCGCACTAAATCGAAACTCGACGAAGTTAATCTCACTTTACGCCGAAAGTGAAATTATACATGCAGTAGAAACTATTTTTTTGAAAAAAGTAATTTCGGCAAGAAATTCAAATAACCTTGAATTTAGAATATTTAAAAACTATCTGAAAGTTTTATTTGATTTTTTTTACGTAATTCACTTACTCTGACTCATGATAATTGTATACAGCTTATCTTATTATATTTAGTACTTAGACATGATGATCCCCTTACATAGCGAGATTCGGATATTGCGAACTTTGCCAAATCCCCGATTATAATAAAATGTACTTGTTTATAGCGATTTTCTATATATTAATAGCATTACGATGATTAAAAATGTAAAGAATTTGCTTTCCATCAAGTTTTCTGAATAGCTTCAAATGACTGGTCATAATCATGAAATTTATAATAAATTAAGGGTCATAGTGACAATTAAAATATTGATTTATGGTTTGTCATTCGATAAAATAAAACCATTCCTTGTTTGTTAATGCCTCTTCAGTTACTTCTATAAAAGGTAAATTCAGAATATTGATTAAATCCTTGAATGTGTATAATAAATGCGTGAGATAAATGGATCAACTTGGTATTATTATATTTGTTAGCCTGACAATTGTTAGATCCCGTGGGTGCTAACATGTGATGCACTGGTTCTATCAGCGATATCCATAAAAAAATAGCAACCTGTTTTATTATTAATAAACAAAAATGAAAAATATACTGCCAAAAAACGACCTCGCAGTTAAATCATGCGAGCGTGTCCTCGAGGACATAGGCACAGTAATGTGATGTTGACTAAATACGCCACTTTGATTACCTTACTTAATTTCAGCTATTACATGATTGATTAAATAACTTTGAAATCGTCAATCCCGTAAAAGATTTCACTGATAGTGCTAAAAAAAAAGGTCATAGATCTTCCGAGCCCTTTCTATTTTTTTTCTTATAAAGCGTGGTGTCGGCGATATCTTTGGGAGTTGTTGTCTGACCTCGTCATTAACTAGAATCAGGGATGCGTGCTCTCTATGATATTCATAACGTTGCAATAAACCTTTTCCAAAATCGTAATAATATCTTATAACATCTTGGCTCGCTCTATCATTTCGGACTTCGGCAGTAAATCTTGTTATATAGAGGAATGAAATCGATATAATCTTCTAACGGAAGTGGATGTTGGCGGAATCGATCTTAAAATAGTCGGAACATTGGTAGCCGATTCTTCGAGTTTTTTCAACTTAGAAAATTCTCACTTATTATCTGTCTTCTGTTTTTTACTGGAGGCATTATCTGCTGTTGGTAGGGTTTGAGGGCGAGATCCAATCCGAAGAGTCTTTTCTAGGTCGTCGGCTATAAAGGAGGCTCCACTCAATTGAGACAAATTTTGTTTAAGTATAGGCTTCGGTTTCATTCCTTCGATTCCTAGAGTTTCGACGTTTTTACTGCGCATGCACTTGGTTGTACGAGTAAAAGATTTTTTCAGTACAGATTCGATGAAACGTATGGCCACGTACTAGCGTGGTAATTGTTTTAGAGATCGCTAAATTTCGCCGAACGTGGTTCAAGTTCCGGAATATGGATATTACAGGAGCGATTTCTGGTTCGTTTTTTACGATATTTAATGCGAGGGTCTTGAGTAGTTCACAGCGAAATGGATAAATGCCGGAAATTTCTAACTTGGAAATACCCTCGTCTTTATTCGATTCATTGGTAAGTTGACTCATTTGCTCATAATGAGAAAAAGAGTTGCGGGGCAACGTTCCCCCTTGTAAAGTGATCTCACGTGAAATATCCCGTGAAGATGTCACCTGATAATGCATAAATTCATTAATTCTGCCATAACTCCATAATTTCGCCCAAACTCCGAATACGCACAAGCTGTAGATTACGGTAACGTACATTCAAATATTGTTTATAAACAAGTAAGATATTAATCATTTGTTTATTAATTCAATAATATAACTGTGAGTTTGTAGATAAGGCAAAATATCAATTACAAAAAATATAACTTTACAATTAAAATGAGAAATTATAAATAATTTCACAATTAAGATGAGAAATTATATAAAAATACTAGCTATTTTAATCAATAAGATTAATTTAAAAAGAAATAAAACAAACAACAATTTTCTTGTCTTTTAACTTTATAATATAATTAAATCTCTCTATAGTTAACACTTTCAAAAAAGCAAAATTTGGTAACTATAAAGAGATGTGATTATAGAGTGATTTTTTTACTATATTTATATATAAATGAAAAAGCAAAATAAAGTAACTAGAGAAGTGTAACTATAAATGAATGTGATTATAGAGAAATTTACAAGCTATATTTATAAGTAATTGATAAATATGAAATAATTATTGAAATAATTATTTAAAATAATTATTTATAACAATTATTTTTGTAAACTATCAAATCACAATAATATAATCAATAAAATATAATATAAATCTTATTAATACTTTTATAAACAAAATATATTATTACAAAAAACAAATATAATAAGTTATAAAAGTTTTAAAGCTTAAAAAAACAAATTTCTTAAAATATTAATAATATATTATCAAGTCAAAGATTAAATACAACTTGATTAATTAATATTAATATAAAAATTAATTGTTATAATATTATACAAAAATAAAAAAAAATTAAAATTAAAAAAGTATTTAATAAAATTTTTAATTTATAATTCTCTAAATAAAAAGACTTAAGATTTTTTTCTTAAAATAAAAAAAGCTAAAAGCTAATAAATCTGTTTAAATTATTAATTAAAATATATTACTTTTATATTATTTAGTAATTTTACAAATATTACTTTTGTTATAATTATTATATTATTTTTATTATATAATCAAATTTCTTTATAATTATCATTCTTGAAAAAGCAAAATTCAATAATTATAGAGAGAATGTGTCTATAAAGAAATTTTTATTTATATATAAATAAAAAAACAAAATAAAATAACTATAACTAAATATATGTGATTATAGAAAAATTTGATTGTAATTATTTTGATAATTTTATTATAATTATTATATTAATTTTATTGTAATTATTTTGTTAATTTTGTTATAATTATTTTGTTAATTTTGTCATAATTATTATATTTATTTTACTATATAAAAATATTGACAAATAAAATTTTATCTAAATAATATTCAATTATATTTAATTAATAAAATTAATTAAATAATATTTAATTAAATTATAATATAAATTATTCAATAGAATATAATTAAATAATAACTAAATATTTATATTATAATAATATTATTTACAAAATAAATAAAATCTCAAATTAAATAATATTTTTATTCAATATTTTTTATATAATTTTTTTAAATTTATTATAATCAGAATTTGAGAATACTTTATATTTAATATTTTTTTTAGAATTTATTTATTTTAATTTAATAGCTTAATTATTATATCTAATATTATTTTTATAATTAATAAAAAATTTATTTTTTGGATTAGAAATAAATATTTATATTGCTAAAATATAATATAAATTTTTTATATATATTATTAATATTTAAATTTATTTATATATTCTATTTATAAATATTTTCTTTCAAAATTGTATTTTTTCTATTTTTAATATATTTAAAATTGAATATTATTTATTTGAATTTGTTATAAATAATTAAATTTTTATTATTATATTTGTTATTTATTATTATATTTATTTTCAAATTTAAATTATATATTTTACAAAACTTGATAGTAAGTTAAAATAACAAATATTTGATTAACAAGAATAAAATTTTATCATGAATTCTTGATATTTGCCTTATATTATTATAATTTTATCTTTTATTATTATTATTATATATTATTTTCAAGTACAATAATATTCTTTTTAATATTTTTATCCAATAGTACTAATTCATATTTTTATTCAATTATTATTAAATAATTAATTAATTTATAGTATTATTATATCATTTTATATTCTAAATTCTATTAATATTTTATTTTTATTTATTATATTAATTTAGTTAGTAATATATAAATTTTATAAATCTCTTTATAATATTATATAATAATTATTATATATTAACATGTTTTAAATTTATATAAATTAATATAACTTAAATTTGTTATATATGTAACATGAAATAAACTTGAAATAAACTAAGAAAATTATGTTTTAGTTTTAATTTTTGTCTTGTTCTTTTTGTTTTCTTATTTATTTCTTTTATTTGTTTTATATTTATTTGTTTTGTTTCTCTTATTTTTCTTTTTTTTGTTTTATTTTTGTTTTGTTTTTGTCATTATATTATCTTTATTTTTTATAATATATTTTTACTTTAATTTATAACATATATTTTATTTTGTATTATTTATTTATCACTTAAATATATTTAATATTCATCTTACACTTATATTTTTATTAGTTTGTTATTGTCAATCATTCACTATTGTCATTTATATTTTTTTTATTTAAAATCTGTCATAAACATAATTATTGTTAGCTATTTCTAAATATTTTTATATATAAGAACTAGAAATAATAATAATAATAATATAAAGAAATTTTTTTTGAAATTATTAAATTAATCTAATTTATTTTAGCAATATGAATTAATTGATTATTTATCTATAAATGATTATCATAGCATATAAATATATTATAATTAAAGATAATAAAGCTAAATGTGAACTTACTAATAGAAAAATATTAAAGATAGTAAAAAATACAAATAAAGAAAAGGAAAAAAAAAAGGATAAACTTATTGAAATAATGAAAAAAGTTAATTATATAAAGGTAAAAAAATATATAACCAAATTATTAAAATTTTTATATGAACAAGATCTGAAATTTGGAGAAATTTTAAGAAGATTATATAAATAAATTAAATTAATAATTATAAAAAATTTAAAACAATTTGATCTTTATTATTTTCAGGATACTAAGTAAAGTTCTTATTATTATAATAATAATAAAATAAACCAATTTTATCTTTGATCTTAGGATTTTTGATTTGTTAATTTCTAGTATTATATCTAACCAACTATGAGTAACAGATTATCAAATTATTAGATATATTTGCTATTTATGATCACATGTATTCAATTCTAATGGTCAGCTTTATATATCGAACTATTCGTTAAAAGAGAGAGAATCCTATAACGAACTCCTCTATATCAACCAAAATATTCCAGAACAAGCAGTTCGATATAGCCAAAGTTGACTGTATATATAATTGATGCTAATGGCTGAAAAGTTTGGTCGGCATCGGATCAATATCACGTGACAGCAACTTTTTTGCTAAGTACTTGTATCTTTTTATTGGTTATGGCTGGAAAGAGCCATTTTATTGGATAAATATCACGTGTTCAAATTTTTTGGTAAAAAGACTGTGAGTCACTAAAGAACGCAAAAACCAGATCTATAACCAGCTTGTATCTTGTACTCTGGAAGTGATATTATCTTTACGAGCGGCAAGCAAAATATCGGCGACGGTCCACGCAAAACTCAAAAAAATTTCTTCTTCATGCCAAATCTGGCCATTACCACTTAGACTTTCATGTGTATGACGATTATACGTCACGTAATACCACGCGGACGCTTTAGCTTTCGATTCGTATGTAATCTTGATAGGGACACGCGAATTAAATGCCAAATCATCGGTACCCTCATACTTGGTATTCTCATCGTCGTCCAGACCCTTTCGAAAAGATAGCCGCGTTCTTTGCACTATCACTGCAACTTCCATGGAGATCGTCTCACGAACGTCGTGAATTTTTTTTCCATCCACTCCTCGATACTGAATAATATTTGAGGTGACGATTTCCGGTTCTGTTTTGATGCTGTATTTTTTCATGAGGCATTTAAGCCTCCAGTTGTAGTCGTCGCGCATCGAGATCGCCTCATCGATGTATTCTTCATAACCTTCTGCGAGAAATGTCATGTCTACTTTGATGTCGTAATCTTTGTAGTTTAGAAGCGGGTCTTTTTCAGGAATGTTGACCTTTATACGGCGGTAGAGAATTCCAAGGATCTTGATGGATTCGTAAGAAAATCGGTGTTTATTCTCCAAAAAATCAGGATATTCGCTGATCACTTTTTTTGGTAAATATCCAATTTAATTTAATGAGCTAGTTAAATCAGATTTATCTTAAAATATCAAAATTTGAAAATATGTATAGACCTGGTAATCTATCGTTGACGGCCTGGCCTAAACCAAAGATGACATAATATAATTCGCGTTAATTTTCATTTACACCAGCCAAATTTTAATTTGAATTCTCGCAATACTCGCCTGTCTTATTGAAATCGACAGCTTTGGAGGCCTAAAAATCATCAATTTGATTATCAACTAATTAAACTCTTCTTGTTTTTAAAGAAATAATAGGCAAAGAATAAAGACTCACAAGTTCTGCTAACATTAAACATTGTTGACTATAAGCGCCATCTTCATTAAAGTCTGCAAAAGCCATATGCAGATTACATATAGTTCCAAGACGGTCGTTCACCATGAAATCCGCAAAGAAGTCACATACGTCCTCAATCATTACCGGACGATTAAGCTCGACACGTGGTACCTTATCAAACGACATTGGTTCAAACGTACGCGATGGTATAATTTGTTTATAGGAACTTACGAAAAATTCATCGCCATCTGAATAAATGCCCGAATACGCGAGTGTGAGTCATGGATTAATATTTGATTGTGAAGACTAGATAGAGTATAAATTCTCACCCAAGTCCCCTGTATTGTATTGTGAATAGAAGATTCAAAAAATAAAAAATCAATATTTTTAATTAATCATTGCGTTGAAATAAATACTCACCACCAGACATAGTATTAGCCGCTGGTCTTTGACCTTTTTGCGAAAAGACAATGCAATTCTTCAGGTGATGCAATTGAGGAATATCAACCGCATACAGCACTGAAAGGTCACCTATTTATTTAAAAGAATTAATTGTCAAGTTTAACGGAATCAAAAGTATTGTGAATATCTTCAAATATTATTTACCGGGATGTAAGCAAGGATTTCTAGTAACAAGAACCTCCCCAACCCACACATGATTTTTGCGCTTAGTTTTTTGACTATCCTCACTATCCTCACTATCCTCTTCCGTATCGAACGACGTTTGATCATTATTCAGGATAGTAGAAGTGTGCACAAACACTTCGTTCGCCTCTAGAATCCCCGTCTCGTCCATCACACCAAACAAGAGAAAAGTGTTGGGGACAGAAATTCGAGCCCTGTGGCGAAGATTTTTTAATGCGAAACATCGCTTTACTTCAAGCAATCCCTTAAGAAATGGCTCGTTAACCTCTATTAAACCAGCATTGATCATGCTAGTGTCAGATTATATTTTCGAAAACAGCACAAAAATTCACAAAATTAAGAAATTCAAATTCTGACATAATTCTAAGAAACTTAATTTCCCGGAACATAAAATCTCAATGATCGAATAATAATTACCCAAGCATGGTTCGACTTATATGGGTCGATTCATTTGTGTTTCGTTGGACTACTTCCCGGGCCTTTACAGGATCCCACATCATTGACTCGATTAAATCTTGGTGTTGTTGTTGTAACCCAATAAAGGTGCTGTTATTGATCCCAAGATCCGACAGCAACAATATGATTTGTCGGTTGAGATATGCAGGTATCGGATTTCTTACAGCCTTAGCGATTTCAAGATTTTTAGACCTAAGCGAGTCAAATTTCTCTTGACTTTTACGAATACATAGAATTTCACCTTCAAGGGTAGGATCAACTGAAACGACGCCCTTAATAAATCAAATAAAAAGTTGATAATTTTAATTACACACAGTCAACCCCATATAATCACATGGTAAATTATCTTCAATAGTGTGATTATGAAGAGGTTGTGATTATAGAGAGGTTTTATTATTTTTCTTAAACGATCGGTCAAAAATGATGGTGTGATTATATGAAGGTTTTACTGGCTATATAGAGGGTTTACTGTATTAATAGAATTTACCTTGCAACCACCAAATCTTATTTGGTAGACTGATGGAACTTCACTTTCTTTTACCGTTCTTGCTCCCCAATAGGCTTTAATAGCTCTTTTTGCCAGATCAGGTGAGATAGTACCACACCCATCACTAAACGTGTATCCATTTCGAATAACATCCGGAATCTTACGAACTTGATCTTCGTCTAGTTCAGTTGTACCAACTGTGCTGGTAAAGGCTTGCCCCATTCTTGCGGCATACAATGCCGGAATTCTTATATCACTAAAGTCACCCATCCACGCTCGAATATTATCCGGCGTAAAATCATCCTTGGATGAGACAAACCAACACGACTGCTCGCGAAGGCCCGAACTAGAAAAGGCCAAGAAATCGTAATGACGTCTAGCGACTTGGAAACCCTTTTTTAGGATCTCCTTAATTCTAAAATTATATATATCCTCGAGACTATTATCTGGTCCGGAAAACAACCTTTCGAAATTTTCCTCGGTAAACGTAACTCGCATAAATCTGTCTGTGTAGTCTACGTATTTACGCAGAATACGATTCGAGGTCTCGAAAATTGGACCTTCGAAATAAATTTTTGTGGGCGTCACAGTTGCGTGATTTATCCACGCATATCTTTTGTTAGACTTTGTGATCTTAGGATTCGGATACCACTCGTAAAAATCACCCTTAAAATTACTGATGGCCACCTCGAAAGCCATTATTGGTCTTTCGTTATTTAATGGGTCGGCTGGATCCCAATGACGATTCAACAAGTTATTTAGACCATGCCAAGCTAACCTTTCGTCACCACGGTCTACCAATTCTTTCAATCGATCACCCAATGCATACTCAATCACTTCTCGCGGAGAAAGTGCATTGTGAGACAGGAGACATGCCAGTTTGAAGTTTATAACAAAAGGCAACTTTTTGAACACCGTTTTTTCCAATTGTTCGGTTGAGTGCAGACGAGATTCGGTGTATCTGACAGGATACCGTGGTACTGGGTTATCGGTGATACCACTTTCAGCCAAACCTGTCAATAAACTTTTTATTTTCTGTATCTCATTAATAAATACTAAACGATATACGAAACATTGGCCGAAAACATTCGTAGATCCAGTCCAATCTTGAGTTCTCACCCAATCGTCTTCGTTAAATTCGCTCCAAAGCTGATGGAGGTTTAGGAAGCTTTGTGAGGATGAACTTGATATTCTCATCAATTCGGGCGGATGTTTCAAGGATAAATAGATAACAATGTATCCATTTTTTTCCCGCGACGAATCAACAATTATCCCGCAAAACTTTTCAGCCAATGTTTGAAATTTAATTTTTACGCGTTTCTCTTGTTCGATCGAAGTAAATCCATCAATAAAAAAAGATTTGTCACTTGTAGATACGCTTAATCGAGGTTTTGGATATTGCGAAGAATACTTCCATTCACTCATGAAAGTCCAGTCCGGATTTTCATTGCGATTTCTCTTTTGATAGCGATGACGTGTTCTCACGTTATTCGAGTTATCACTACCAGCACCCATCCAATTACCTAAATCCAAACTCT